GCATGTTTAGACTATTTGTGTGATCGGGTGGCTTGAAAAGTCAACCAAGGGACTCTATTTCATCTTCTTTTATTTTGTCCTTAAAAATTAAGTTTAGGGAATAGCCTTGAGGAGAACATTCAAAATTTAAGGGTAAGATTTCTTAGTACCACAAATTCAATTTTCTACTAGATAAGTTGACACCAGAAGAAAAGGAGCAGGAATATGCTACCCTGAATGCTACTTTAGAAACAAATCAGAATGATTTATCATCAGGGATTTTTGACATAATTGAAATCCCCAAATGGTTACTGTGAAAGGTATAGAGATTTTCTGAACTTAGAAGAGGGGATTCTTTCTTTGAGACATAAATTACAGAATTACATATATGTATATAGTTTAATTCCCACACCTATTTTACAAAATATATATATGAAAATTAAATGTCAATTGATATTAAATGAATAATATCCCCTTGGTAGATTTAGAAAATGAGGATATGCCTCGCCAGTGTGGCTCAGTGGTTGAGCCTCGACTCATGCACCAAGAGGTCATGGGTTTGACTCCTGGTCAGGGCACATGCCCAGGTTGTGGGATTGATCCCCAGTGGAGGGCATGCAGAAGGCAGCCAATCAATGTTCTCTTTCATTGATGTCTCTATCTCTCTCTCCCTCTCCCTTCCTCTCTCTCTAAAATCAATAAAGAAAAAAAATATTTTAAAAATGAGGATGTGAGCACATAAGTGACACCCATAAATTGTCAGGATTGGCAATTTTCGGATCTGGGAGTAAAATCTTGATTATCTGAGAACTGTCTCTGTGCTGATCGCATCATACAGCAACTGTGAAGTGTCTGGCACAAGGCTCCGATAGCGGGCACTTGGTGAATGTTAATTTTTTTAATGTATATTGTGGGGGAATGGTGGGAAGCATCTTGGGACTCGATCCTTCAATTTGACAATAATACTAAAACCAATAAAGCAGATAAGATTTTATTGGTGTGCAAACCCAGAATGTCTTACACATGTTATCTCATTTCATTAGCTCTTGCCAGTTTCAGATATCTTAAAATTTGTGGCTGAGTCTGAGCTTGCCCATTTGGGTTGCCAGTTTTGGTCTGACAGGTGTCTCTGCTCGGAAAGTGAAATCGCATAAATGTGTATCAAGGTTAGCCACCAGACTGGAGTCAGACTGGGAGGTGCCTGAAGTTTGCCTGTGAGAGCGCCCTCTTCTGGCCTGGAGCGTGTCCTCAGTGTTCTCTTCTCCCTTAAGCCTTCTGCTTTCTTCATAGAGTCTTACTGTTCAAATGACTATGAAACTTAAAGAGTAACCCCTTTAAAAGGCAACTTAAAAAGGAACCAGCCTTAAACTAACAGATGAGTTTCAGAAGGTAGAATTCCAGGCATCAGCAAATGAGGAAAAATTTGAAGGTTAGGGACCTCCCTCGTGCCTAGAATGTAGGTCACTTCTTAAAATTCTTTGGGTAAGGGTCAAGAACAAGCATTCTTCTCAGGAAATTGTTTTTTTTTTTTTAAATTTTTCTTCCTGGGAGCAAAACTTCTAACACTGGTTAGGATGCCCATCAGAGGAGCAGAAGAGAAAGGGAAGAATTTGGGTTAAGTTTGCAGAAAGGAAGAAAGACTAGAGTAATGCATGGAGAAGAGATGCTAAAAGGAAACTCCTGTCCCCTGGCTGAGTCTTGTGTTCCAAAGGCTCCTAAGTAAGACTGGGCGGTACAAACACACATAGAAAATGCCAACCCACCGTCGGCACCCTCTCCCTCTCCCTCCTGTCTCTCTCGCCAGTCTGTTCTCTACTGCTTATTTGGATTAATTCTGCTTTGGATACAGCCTCATTAAGCACATGTAGCCCCTTTTCGTCTTTAAGATGCTGTCTAATGAGACTGAGAGAATAAGCTGGAAGTGTGTGTTTCTGGACAGACACTGAAATGAGAAGATAAAACGAGACTGGAGACAGTGGGACCTCTAAGAAACACCTTTCTAGTGCCTGTTAGCCTCTGTTGCTCTGGACAGTAGGAGAGGAGGCTTTCAAAGCCCAAGGTCAGTGGTGCATTTGGGGAGATGTTCTCCATAGCCTTGTAGAGGAATCACTACACCTGCTGCTCGAGTGTGTCTGTGAAGGAAGGATTTGCAAAGTCCCAAATCCACAGCTTCATAAGTTAATCATTCTGTGGCGTGAGAAGGACACATGCCCCTCATTTAAGTTTTCTAGAGGCAGAGATAATCCACATCCGGGGGTCAGACCTCAATATTCCCCAGGGTTGATCCAGTTCAGGATTTTCCTTTGTGGTCCATGAGGAAAACACACAGCAGGATCACGACTACACAGCACAGGATGAACACTTGATTATCTTCCATTCTGCCCTCTTCACCTCCAAATAATCCGTCCACATAGAGAATCTCACAATTATTGCGTTTCTATTGTTTGCCGAGTGTGTGCTGGGCATTTTGTGTAGGTTGACATATTAAATCCGTGAAATGACCCTTTACAGAGGATTTGAGAGCCACTGGCACTAATAATTCAGAGGCATGCTTTGCACCACAGTTCTCACCACATGGGCCCACACCCGCCCCACGTCCCACATCACGACCTTTGCCTCAGGGGAGGGAGCACAAAGCATGCATGTTTTTCCAAGAACATGTCAGTTTAGTTTTATTCAAAATGTGCATGTAGCCCTGGATATTTTTGCTCAGAGGTTAGAGCATCGACCTGCGGTCCAGAGAGACCTGGGTTCGGTTCCCGCTAAGGGCACATATCTCGGTTGCAGTTTGTCCCCGGCCCTGGTTGGGTCGTGCGGGTGGCAGCCACTCCATGTGTCCCTTTCACGTCGATGTTTGTCTCTCTCTTCCTCTTTCTCCTTCCCACTCTATCTGAACAAAAAATGGAAAATTGTCCTCGGGTGAGGATAAAAATAAATAAATAAAAATAAATAAAAATGTGCATGCATGTGGCACTATTTAGGGCAGGAGTGGAGAATCTTTTCTAGGGAGGAACCACATGTGTATAAAAGTCAATAGAGGATGATAGACTCAGGAAACAAAAAGCATCTTACCATTGAAATTTTATATATAAATATAAAATGAATCTAAATGGAAATAAAACTTAAAAATTAATTTGATATAAACTTTAACAGAAATATAAACATTTCCATTCACTTGCTTTATAAACATAGTCTACCATATGTCACATATGTATTTTCCCTGGTTAAACATCTGCCTTCTAATTTTTTTCTTGTTTGTCACAGGAATTTTAACACTATTGTAGTCAGACCTGTTCTTTCCTCTTCTTTTTTTTCCCCATTTTTTTTTTTTCTGTTCAGATAGAGTAGGAGAGAGAGAGAGAGAGAGAGAGAGAGAGAGAGAGAGAGAGAGAAACATCGATGTAAAAGGGACACATCGAGTGGCTGCCACCCGCACGACTCAACCAGGGCCAGGGACAAACTGCAACCAAGGGACGTGCCCTTACCAGGAACCAAACCCGGGTCTCTCTGGACCACAGGCTGACCCTCTAACCCCTGAGCCAGACTGGCCAGGGCTTTTTCTCTTCTTTATGGTTTCGCTTTTAGCATTACATTTAGAAAGATTTTTCCAAGGATACATATACATTTACCTAGATTTTCCAATGAGCACATAAAGGACATATTTCACTCTTTACTTATTTGCATTCTGCTTTGCTTGGTGCAGGGCATGTCTATTTGAAGTCATCCTAAAATAAATCAGTGGAAAACGTCTCATCTCTGCTTACACACTTTATTCAAATTATGTTCTAGAAAGTGTTTCTGGTAAAATTGGGTTTGTAAATATTTTATTAGATCACTTTATACTTCACCAGCTTAAGTCAGCTTCTAATTTCTAAGGGTAAAGAGTTAAATGTCAGAAGTGGAAGGTTTTTGACACACACACACACACACACACACACACACATATTTTTTTTCTGGAAAGAGTGGACTCGCGTTGTGAAATGGTCTCATCATCCTTTCATTTATGGTTAGAGAGGAGGCTGAGGAAGCCTCAGGGGAGGCTCACTCCTGCATATCCGACAGACCTAGGTTAACGGGAAAGCAATGTGATGGGCAGAGGACAGAGCCACGGAAGAATGAGAGAGACACTCACCAGCAGCAATGGTGCTGGACAAATCCACTGCACCTGCCCCCCTGTGGAGGAGTAGTGACTTGGAGGTGACAGTGTGTGCTGATCAGAAGGGAGACCAAGCTGTGAAACGGTGTCAGGTGCTGAACTTGTCAAGGAATGATGTCGAAATCAAGGAGATCAAGACCGAGTAGGTAGTTTAGGTGACTGCAATTGGGAAGAGAAGAGTGTTGATATGATACCACTGGACTAAAATTTTCCAGGTCCCTACGTAGCTGAGATAGAAATGGCAGCCAAGGGTAATGTCCTTCAGCAGTTGCTTAGCAAATTCATGAGTAGCACTCATGGGAGTCGGACAGGAGAGAGAGTTCCGTGAAGGAGGCATCTTGTTTTGTAATTCAGCTCAACTACGTATAGTGTACCTTTTTGGATTCTGCAAGATGCAAGTAATCAGAGCTCTGCATGTGCAGGACTTCAGGGCTGTTTGTTGGTGAACGCAGAGGGCAGCATTTGGGCGGAGGAAGGGCTCCTGAGCCAGGGAGACCTGGGTCTGAAGGGGTTCTGCGGCTTACTTCCTGTATGACCCTGGCAAGTCAGTGTTCCTCCCGGGGACCTTGTTTCCTCATGTGTAACACAGGGATAGTGCTAGGTGCATTGTAGCACAGCAATGAATATTTAATCAAGTAGCTTTTGTGCTGGATACATATTAAGCACCCAATAAAGTGGCTGTTGTAATACCAACTGTAAGAATAGGCTACCTTGGAAAGATTTTTCTTTTTTAAATATCTCTCCCTCCTGCTGACTATCCATGGTGGGGGTCAATAGACACATGACCATGAAGAACAGTGAGCAGAAGCAGTGGGGAGGAACCTCCATTGTCAAATAGGCACACAGCATGTGCCCCTTGCCTAAGCCAGAGGTGGAGGTAGGTGCTAAAGATGATTTACATCTCCAGTAGTTTGCAGAAATATGCTTTCAATCATCATGAGCTAGGAAAACACTTTCTTCTTTTCCAACACCTTCCACAAGGCATCTTTGATCTCTTTGTTCCTCAAACTGTAGATGAGAGGGTTCAGCATGGGGATCACCAGCGAATAGAACACAGACACCACCTTGTCCCTGGCGAGCGAGTAGCTGGAGCTGGGCCGCAGGTACATGAACAGGGCTGTCCCAAACAGCAGAGTCACCACCATCAGGTGTGAGGTGCACGTGCTGAAGGCTTTCCTTCGGCCTTCTGCTGAGCGAATCTTCAAGACAGCAGCCACTATGTAACTGTAGGAGAGGAGGAGGAGGAGGAATGATGTCCCCCCAGCGGTGACCACCACGAGGAAATTCACCAGTTGACTGAGGAAGGTGTCAGAGCAAGAGAGTGCCAGGACTGGTGGGAGGTCACAGAAGAAATGGTTGATGATGTTGGGTCCACAGAAGTGGAGCCGAAATATAGAGCTGGCCTGGATCAGGGAGCTCAGGAAGCCCCCGATGTATGCCCCAACCACCATGCGTGCACAGAGGCCCTGGGACATGATGGCAGGGTAGAGCAGGGGGCTGGAGATGGCTGCGTATCGGTCGTACGCCATGGCGGTCAGGACGAAGCACTCCGTTAGACCCATGCCGACGAAGAAAAAAAACTGAGCAGCACAGCCCAAGAAGGATATGGTCTTCTGCTCTTGGAAAAAGTCAGCGAGCATCTTGGGAGCCACTGCAGAGGAGTAGCAGATGTCAACGAAAGACAAGTTGCTGAGAAAGAAATACATGGGTGTGTGTAGACGGCTGTCACTTCTGATCAGAAAGATGAGGGCCAGGTTCCAGACCAGGGTCACAAGATAGATGCCCAGGAAGGTGGCAAAGAGGAGGACCTGGAGCTCTGGATGGTCCGCAAATCCCAGGAAGATGAATGTGGTCACAGACGAGCTGTTCCAGGCCTCAGCTGTGGACATGTTTCCCATGAATGACAAGGACAAGATGCAGACCTGGGACAGGAATGATAATCCGCATTACAGGTGATCTCAGCAAATAATTACAAAGTGCACGAGGGGAGTATTACAGAGCGTTATAGCTTTATGCAAAGACTGCCTTTCTCTCAGGAGGTCACTGTGGTCATTTGCTCTTTGATGTCATGAAGGTGGTTGATGTGCACTTAAACTGTGGATTCAAACCCCCGGTGATGAACTCTTGCTTCCACCATTTAGCAGCTGTGTTACTTTGGATGAGATGCTCAACGTTGCTAGGCTTCCTTATCGTTATTTTAATTTATAGGCTTCCTTATCCTTAAAATGGGTGGCAGTACCTACCTACTTCACATATTTGTGTTAAGAATTAAATAAGAAAAAGTGTGTTAAATACACATCTTAATCTTCAGTGACAGTTGTTAGGACACTCTTGTGTGTCCCGAAAGTGTCACGTGATGCCCTGAGACACCCGTTGATCTAACTCTGTTTTGAAGTTCAGTATTGGAATAGAGAAACCAGCGAAGGGACCAGGTTCAGCTACATAGTTGTGAAGCAATCAGACATTTACAATGTTTTTATTTTAAAGGATTAGGCTAGATAGATATGTATAGAAATGCTCCTAATTGTCAAATGCTAAATCTGAATATACTAATGGAGCTCCAGTTTTTCAAATTTGTCTTCAGTATGTGGTCTCTTAGCTACTTGATTGTTAAGAATGGGGACTGTAGATTTAAATTGCCAGGATTTAATGCTCAGCTTTACCACTTCATGGGTGTGTGATCTTGGACAGGTCACTTGAACTTTCTATGATTCTTTATAATATTAGAGACAATAATAGCACTTACTTTGTTATTAGGATGTGTGTATGTATGTATGTATCATCTATCTATCTATCATCTATCAATCATCATCTGTCATCTCCTTTAGAATATGCTTGTCCCACACTAAGTCTTCTCTGAATTACTAAGTATCCTCAATAAAATTCTTAGAATTTTCAGTGTATGAAGCATCGTTCAGGATCAGGGATGTGATTCCATACAATCCATGTCAGAAAGATTCCCAGCACCCCATCGCCTCCCTGTCCGCAGGTCTATGAAGCAGAGGACCTCTCCCTGCAGGGGCATGAGGAGCAGTGTGGCCAGAGGGCTTGGTGCTCAGGGTGAATGGCTCTCGACGATTTGGAACAGGTCTGATTCTTCTTCAGGTCTTAACTCAAGCAATTAGAAAATCAACAAAATTACCTAAAGTGTCTCATAAACTACATATTTGCAGCCTGTTTCACCCACCTTTTAAAATATAGGGAGTCTCATCGATTTCATTTTTCAAAGTGCAAATGTTATTTTACGAATTTTAAAGCAACATGTGAGAACTGTAGAATGATTTGATCAATGAACAATTGAAATATTCAACCTAGAAAATCACATGCAGTTTCTGACTGATGCAAAATAAATAAATAAATAAATAAATAAATAAATAAATAAATACCCTTGAAACTGAGAATTGCGACATTTTGTCTCCTGAAACAACAGCTCTTAAGATTTTGGTGTGTGCCTTTCACGAGCAAGTTTAGGTATATGTGTGTGGATGTTTGTGTCATAATACACAAACCCTTTCTACCTTACGTTTATTACAGAAATCATTCCAAGTCAGCATCTTCACAATTTGGGGAGTAACACTTTCTCTATTTGCTCTGAATAAAAAAATTTTTTTTCTTTCAACTTAGAAGAGCCACTTTATTTTAGTATCCCTGGTTTTTTCATACATTAGTCCATGCCCACTCATTGCCAGTCAAGGTCTTGGCGAACCTTTTAACTTTCTTCTTGGAACTTGCATAGAGATGCGCTTGGCATTGGGACTCGCTTTCCTCCCTCTCAGCAGCTCCTGCTACAGGTATTTCAGCGCTAAAACCCTCGGTTTGGATAGTGAGAGGACGTGAAGCCATCACCATGCCACGGTTTGTGCAGAGTTTCAGAGATCACTTGCCTTATTCCCAGTCTTATCAATGTGGCTTTAAGCGTTATCCCATGTGTAGAGGTTACGCACCTGTTTGTGAAAGTTGTGTAGACTGCAGAATCGGGAGAGGATTCTTTCCCCTGGAAGAAAGAAAGGGACCTGCAGAAAAGTTTAGCACAACCTAGGGCAGATGTTGAGCCACATGGAGAAACTGGAAGCGGGACGAAAACAGCTCTGCTGGAGCCCTCGCTCATTCTGCGTAAGGTCATCCATTGAGCAAGGCAGGGACCTGAGGTCCATGATGTGGTTCAGGGCCATTTGTGGCACCTGTCCAGGTTGGCAGAAGGGATAGGGTGGTGGTTATCATTCTGGGTAGGTTTCGGGACGAGGCTGGTTCTAATCCTGTCACTGGCCAGCTGTGGGGTGTGGGACAACTCATCTGGCCTCTCGGAGTCTCCGTTTCTCCATTTGTAGACCATGGGTAACCATGACCACGTAACAGAATGGTCGGAGGATTGCTTAAGATAATGTGTGCAAGGCTCATGGGTCTTGAATAAGATATTTGCTTAATAAACTGGGGCTGTGATTGCTATCAGCAGTGAGTACTCCTCAAAGACTATTTTATGGGACTGAGACTTCTTTTTTTTTGGATTGGAGGTGGGGAGTGAAACACTTCCTCTTGATGTCAAAGGTCGAAGTGTGCCTATCTCACAAAAATAAGGAGTTCACTGATGGACCACGTAGGTTTGTAAGAAGTGTTCAGGGGTGAGACTGAAAAATTTAATGATCTGAGGGTTGAGATGTCGGCTGGAAGTCTGCTTTGTATGTTCCCCTTAGGAGGGAGACTTTCCAATTTAAGGATGAAATTTCCCATCTCCAGAAACAGAGAGTGAAGCTGGACAAATTGAAACAAGAAGAAAAGCATATCTGGGGTTTTATCCCCACATATGGATGCCCCAGATCTTATCTAGAACATTCAGTGGAAGGTATTTTAAGAGTTGTAGGGGCCATTTTAAGTCACCAACTCCTGAAGCTCATGAACATGTGCTTGAGAGAAAGGAAGTCTGCAACCTTGCAGTGAGCTCAGGGAAGCTCGGCTCAGTCTGAGTCCGGTCTCCTGACAGCCCTACCATGTAGGTATGAGCAACAGCAGGCCTGTTGTACAGACTGCAGAAGGAGACTTTGAGAGGCTTGATGACTTCACTGGAGCTGCACCTTTGTGAACAACAGTGGCCTTCAAGGCCTTGGTGAAGATATAATAATAATAAAGTAAAATTAAGCATTAATGATTGCCAAGGAGGGGAGGCTGGAGGGAGGTGGTGGAGGGTAGAGAAAGGATAAATGGTGATGGAAGTGGATTACAAAGTAATAAAAATCAAATTAAATTAAACTAAACACCCAGCACAGTATCTTGCACATAGAAGACACTCAGGGGTTGATGGGAAGGGAACCTGTGGAGCTGATTTATGACTCAGCTCATCTGTTATCAAATATTTACCAAGAAAGTGTTGAGGTTTAAAACCAGGTCTGCTTAGCCCTGGCCAGTTTAGCTCAGCGGTTAGAGCATCAGCCTGTGGTTCAGTGAGACCTGGGATTGGTTCCCGCTAAGGGCACGTACCTCGGTTGCAGTTTGTCCCTGGGGGGTTGTGTGGGTGGCAACCAGTCAATGTGTCTCTCTCATATTGATGTTTCTCTCTCTCTTCCTTCCTCTCTCCCTCTCACTCTATCTGAAGATGAGTGCAAAAAGTGTCTTCGGATAAAGATAAAAAACCAAACAAACCAGGTCTGCTTAGTCTGAGCTTAACAGATGCAGTTGGTGATAGAAGGAAAAAAAAAAAAAAAAAAAAAAAGGAATAATGGTAGAGAGAACCGTAACCAAACCCTGGCGCTGGTGTGGGTTGTCCGTCCCCATCATTCCTGATCTGGTTTCTGCTCTTTACTTCATGATGCCTCCTCCTCTCACCTGGGCAGGATCCCAGTGCCCTCAAGGTCTTTCCTGTTCTTCCAGCTCTGTCTTTCATTCAAATGCACAAATTATTGATGAAACGGAAAGAGTCCCTTTCCACAGGAGGTGAGAATTCAAAAGACTCCGAGAACTAAGATTCGGAGGGTATAATTCAAGCCATCAGTTAGAAAGGGAGGGTTTAGAGGTTAGAGATCTCTGCTGTATTCGGACAATGTGTTCTGATCACAGCCCTTCCAAATTGCTTTTGAGATTATTTACTAAAAGTTGGGGCTGTGTTCAAAGGTTCAAAAATTTCATTCCCTCTGAATTGTCTTCCTTGTTGCAAGGGTTCAAACATGGTCCAGAAAGTCCATCAAAGGAGCAGATTAAGGTAAGTTTGGGGCTGAATTTGGGGCAACACGATAGACTAGAGAGGTACACAGAGAAAAACTAAAACCCAAAGAGCTCCCTAGTTATTAAAAAGGGTTTGTAGATCCAGGGTGCTCTGTCAGGTGAGGTGAACAAGGGAATGAAGACAAAAAGTAAGCCAAATGACTGCACTCACCCTATCTCCCTCTTGCTCTGTCTGTCCTTGAGCTGACACCTGTCTTGAGTCCTGTTTTGGACGGATTTTAATCCAGCGTCAGTAACTGCCTTCAATCCCCAAAGTGCTCATAAATTTTGAGAGCCAGCTTGAGGCTGGTTCATTCATCAGAGATAAACATATTCGCTTGGTACATCGAATATGTGTTTGTGGGCAGAAAAGTGGAGGGAAAAGGTAAACAGAGAGGAAGGATGTAATGTTTAAGAAGCTCTTTTGGTATCTGCTAATATTTGAATTTGGGGTCATTTTGGAAGTGTTTCAAAAATGGGGGTGGGTAAATTTGAGTTATTTGGTCTCTCCTTGGAGATGTTTCATTACCTTTGCCCTTGAGGATCTCTTCTAAAGAGAAAGGAATGTATCACCCAAACTTTACAGATTTGTAGTTAATTGATCTCTGGGGTGGTGTGGAGAGCACATACTTATTTAAATGCTCTGAGGACAATGCTTATTAAACTCCATCCCAATGGCCGGCTCCGCCAACCTCCTAAGGCTAATCAAGGTTTCTTCCGGTATACATGATGAACAAAGCCAGCACAGCAACGACAGGACAAGATAAACCCCTAATCTGCAGAAGGAAGCAAGATTGCAAATACTTACTCTTTCCGAATCCTTCATAGAACCTGTCTGGTCTGAAGTATGCTAAATGGGTGGAAACGCAACCTTACAAAGCTCCTACTAAACACTGCACTCGGTGCTTTATGTGTTAACTCACAAAAATCTTTCAACACACACACACACACTGCAGAGGAGGAAACTGTAGTTTAGAGAAGCTAAATAAATTGCTCAAAATTTGACAGCTAGTAAGAGATTGACCCAATAGTCCAAGCCATGACAACGGGATTCCAGACTCTGCAGATGGATGCGTGGTACCTAAATTTGTTTGTATCATAATTGCACATAGATGTGTTGATACAGTCCGTCATGCCCTCAATTCATAAATCATTCCTTCTCCTTCCAAGGCAACCTACTGTCTCCCTCCAGGAGAGAAACATTAGATACAAGACATTTCCCATAAATTAAAAACAAAAACAGAATCCAACTTACTCTGGAATAACATGGTGTAGTACACAATGTAAGACTCTTAGTCCATGGAGGGTCACATACAACTAAGAAATAATTTGGGGCTAGACACTCGACAGAAAGAAAGCCACTCATTTTTGTGTTTGGAGATGGAGGTTAGAAAAATCAAGAAGTTTGATTCAGTTGTTTTTTTAAATGAGAATATTGAACTAAAATAGTAACTCAAGCCTACTCAAATGAAGCTGATAATCTTGAACCCCCAAATGAGCAAGGAGAATGGTCCCTCTTAACCTGTCTGAAGAGACTAGCCTTTCCTTGCTCAATGACTATTTCTTAACCTCAGGTGAAGCGATGGCCTTGGAGGGGGTGCCTGTTTCCCTCCAGACCCCCAAACCACCCTTCACTGTTGCCCGGCCATAGTTACACTAAACTATAAGGATACCTCAGGGGGACATGTGCAAAGTGTGACCTTTGAGGAAAGAAATTATTTCTCCAGAGCTTGAAAGATATTGCTGAGTTATTTTGGGAAAATCTTGGGAAGATATATTTAGAAGAGACTCTAAAAATATTACCAAAGCCCTGGCCAGTTTGGCTCAGCGGCTAGAGCGTTGGCCTGCGGACCACAGAGTCCTGTGTTCGGTTCCCCGCTAAAGGCACATACCTCGGTTGCAGTTTGTCCCCAGCCCCGGTTGGCATCGTGTGGGTGGCAACCAGTGGATGCATCTCTCACATCAATGTTTCTCTCTCTTTCTTCCTCCCTTTCTCCCTCCTGTTCTATCTGAAGATAAATGCAAAAAAAAAAAAATAATCTTCAGGTGAGGATAAAAATTATATATATATATATATATATATATATATATATATATATATATGCAAAAAGAATAGATGATAACATTAGATTGGTTAAATTGATATATTCTGGATTTAGAATTCATTGTTGAAAATCCATCATTAGGAAGTGACTGTAACACTCTGCTGATCAGGTTAAACAGTAGCCTGCGTTCAATGGGTAGAGATGACAGATCTTCCCTGGCTCAATTAAGAGGAAAGAATCCAAAGTCTTAGGGAAATGGGAATGTTCAATTAGGTTTATCATGTCTAATCTGCGTACTAATCCCCTTCCCAACCATGGTTTGTGGGGGGCAGTCAGGGAAGTCCCTTCATTGAGGCATTGAGGAACAGCTGAGAGGGCAGAACCAGCATCTTTGGAAAGCGGCATGACAGGGTGACTGTGAACGATGCTGTCATTGAGACCATGTCTTGATTTTGTTGTGAAGGCTGTGCTACACCTCCAGTGATTAGGCGGGCAACATTGATGTATGGGCAGCGGGGTTTATACGGTCTGAATCCGGCTTTTTACACTTATCACAATGTGTTTCTGATACACCCATATTGTTGTGCACATAAAGAGGCCATTGCTTTTCATTGCTGAGTAGTATTCCATTGTATGGAAATAACATAATTTGTTTAATCACTCTACAGTGGAGGGACATTTTTTTTCCAGTTATGGTTCATAATTTTTTTTTTTATGAATTTTTATTTATTTTTTTGTTACAGACATTTTACCTTTTTACCCCATTGGCACCCCCCCCCCCCCACCCTGTCCCCGGCTTAGTTGTCCATGTCCATTGGTCATGCATACATGCATATAAGTTCTGTGGTTTATCTCTTCCCACCCCCCCACCCACCATCCCCTCTTCTGAGGGATGTCAGTCTGTGCCCTACTTCCATGTGTCTGGGTCTACTGTATTCCTCAGACTGTTATGTTCATTATATTCCGTATATAAGTGAGATCATGTGGTATTTGTCTTTTTCTGCTTGGCTTCTTTCACTTAGGATAATACTTTCCAGGTCCCTCCATGTCATCTCAAAGGATAAGAGATCTTTCTTTCTTACCGCTGCATAGTACTCCATTGTGTATATGTACCACAGCTTTTTTATCCATTCGTCTACTGGTGGACACTTGGGCTGTTTCCAGATCTTAGCTATTGTAAATAGTGCTGCTATGAACATGGGGGTATATATATTCTTCCTGATTGGTGTTTCAGGCTTCTTAGGGTATATTCCCAGCAGTGGGCTCACTGGGTCAAATGGAAGTTCAATTTTTAATTTTTTGAGGTAGCACCATCTTGTTTTCCATAGCGGCTGCACCAGTCTGCATTCCCACCAGCAGTGTATTAGAGTCCCCTTTTCTCCACACCCTCGCCAACACTTGTTGTTTGATGATTTGTTGATGGCGGCCATTCTGACAGGTGTGAGGTGATACCTCATTGTTGTTTTAATTTGCATCTCTCTGATGATTAGTGATGTTGAGCATTTCTTCATATGTCTCTTGGCCATTTGTATGTCCTGTTTGGAGAGGTGTCTATTCAGCTCCTCTGCCCATTTTTTAATTGGGTTCTTTGTCTTCCTTTTGTGGAGTTGTATGAGCAGTCTATATATATTGGAAATTAACCCCTTATCTGATACATCATTGGCAATGATGTTCTCCCATACAGTGGGTTGCCTTTCCATTTTGATGATTGTTTCTTTTGCTGTGCAGAAGCTTTTTAGTTTGATGTAGTCCCATGTGTTCATTTTCTCCTTTGTTTCTGTTGCCTTAGGTGATGTATCAGTGAAAATTCTGCTCCGTATGATGTCCGAAATTTTGTTGCCTACATTTTCTTCTAGAATTTGTATGGATTCACGGGTCACATTTAAGTCTTTTATCCATTTTGAGTTTATTTTTGTGTATGGTGTAAGTTGATGGTCTAGTTTCATTTTTTTGCATGTAGCTGTCCAATTTTCCCAACACCATTTATTAAAGAGGCTGTCTTTACTCCACTGTATGCTCTTGCCACCTTTGTCAAATATTAATTGAGCGTATTGCCTTGGGTCCATTTCTGGGTTTTCAGTTCTGTCCACTGGTCTATAAGCCTGTTCTTGTGCCAGTACCAGGCTGTTTTGGTTACAGTCGCTTTGTAGTATAACCTGATATCTGGTATTGTGATCCCACCTACTTTGTTCTTCTTTTTCAAGATTGCTGTGGCTATTCGGGGTCTTTTTAGGTTCCATATGAACTTTTGAAGTATTTGTTCTAGTTCTATGAAATATGTCATTGGTATTTTGATGGGGATTGCATTGAATCTATAGATTGCTTTGGGTAGTATGGACATTTTAATGATGTTAATTCTTCCAATCCATGAACAGGGTATGTGCTTCCACTTTTTTATATCTTCCTCTATTTCTTTTTTCAATGACCTGTAGTTTTCTGCAAATAGGTCCTTTACTTCTTTGGTTAAGTTTATTCCTAGGTATCGTAATTTTTTTGGCGCGATGGTAAATGGGATTGTTTTTTCAGTTTCTCTTTCTGTGAGTTCATCATTGGTGTACAAGAATGCCGTCGATTTCTTGACGTTAATTTTGTATCCTGCTACTTTGCCAAATTCATTTATTAAGTCTAATAGATTTTTGATGGAGTCTTTAGGGTTTTCTATGTACAATATCATGTCATCTGCAAATAATGACAGTTTCACTTCCTCCTTTCCAATTTGGATCCCTTTTATTTTTTCTTCATGTCTGATTGCTGTGGCTAAGACTTCCAGTACAATGTTAAATAAGAGTGGCAAAAGTGGACATCCCTGTCTTGTTCCTGTTCTTAATGGAAATATTTTTAGTTTCTGTCCATTGAGTATGATGTTGGCTGTAGGTCTTTCATATATGGCCTTTATTATGTCGAGATATGATCCCTCTATTCCTACATTGCTGAGCGTTTTTATCAGAAATGG